GGGCTTTGTCGATAGCAGCATCGGGGGTATGATCGTCCTGCGATTTGATGACATCTTCGCTATGTTTAACCTTCATCCGCTGCACTACACCTTCATTCGGCTATTTTCGCTCAGTATGGAGATGCGGATCATTAGAGACAAGACCCCGGACATCGTGATAGTCGACCCCTTCTACATGCGTGCCAAGATCTTGGGCAGCGCTCGGGGCCGGCAAGTCGCGAGTTCATACCTTGAAGGCGTCATTTTGGCGAACGCAGATAAGGATAACTTCCTCGTGCCTTACTTTCCCGAGTAAGTCATCCCCTCACCGCCCCGTAACATATGATTTCTTAGATTTCGATCGTTCTTTTTTTCTAACATTCCGTGTTTTGTGCAGTGACACACATTGCACACTCATCCTCTTAAGCCCGAAATATTCCATGGCCACATATTTCGACTCGGACCGTCAGTCGAAGAAAGACTACACAAATATCAAGAAAGTTCTTGATGATGCTCTCCCCGGCTATGCCAAATCTGGAGGCACCTTCAAGAGGCAAATTTGTAGGTATGGCAAGCACGTGTTCACCCAAGTAACGATGTTCCCCTGCGTCAAGAAGCCGCCTGGCGGTCAGAAGGATGCCTACTACGCCCTCTATCACATGCGGGCGATCGTACGGGACCGTAATCACCTTCTGCTACCAACTAATCTCAAAGATTGGGCCGCACGCTTGTCGGCAATCCTGGACGCGGACATCAGACAAGAATTCTTTCGCATCAGTCGGAGTTTGCGGAAATCATCCATCAAGATGTCCTTCATACCTCGGGGCAGTTCTACCTCAAATATCAACCGTCCAACAGTGAAATAGATACAACGCTACAAATGCAGGCTGACAACGACCGCACATTCATGACCATCACGATAGACGACGGCTTCATCCATGCTCCGGTCTGAGTCGAGTCAAAAGTATTGATGCTATGTAGTTCTGGAATATCAATTAGCTCATGTTGTAATTAAACTTTAATGAACTTGTATATCTCTTTAGTTTGGACAGTCGTTCAACTTATATGCAATCGATGCTATTTATTAGTAGGACCATGAATCGTGCTATTAATGTGTTGCTTTTCTCTTCCGATCCTTTTGTTGCATACTTATATATTGCTTATGTATTGTCTGTGGTGTACCATAGAAATGCCGGCGTATGTCGTGTACAAGGGTAAGGTTCCTGGAGTCTACGACGACTGGGAGGAGTGTCGGAGACAGGTTCACCGTTTCAGCGGTAACAGTTACAAAGGGTACACCACTGGGGCGGAGGCAGAAGCTAGATACGCGCGCTATCTAGCGGGAGAGAGGGAGCGGAGGAGGAACCGGATGAAGACCAGTTTCATCGCGATGATGCTCATCGTGACCGCAGCTCTCTTCTATGTGATGGTAGTTTAGATGATCGATATCGACTTGTAATGTGAAGACAACCTCGCTACTCGCGGTCTCGAGACTTGTAATGTTCTAACTTTGTTCGGTATTTTGAATATGAAGACTAATATGATGAATTGTATTCGGAGACTAATCTTCTATTGTATTCGATGAATCTGATGTTTATATTATATGCAGTAATGTATTTTGTAACCTGTGCAAATATCAAAAAATAAAAAATTCCTAATATTCATAATAGTGGTGCACCATATTGCACTTTAGTAGCGCACTGAAATAAACACACCAGTGGCGCATTATCTAAAAGTGCGCCATTAGTAACCCAGAGCACACGGTAAATATGTCCCCCTGGGAGGCATAGTAATGATGCACTGGTGGACATAGTAATGGCGCACTGTGTGGTGCGCCACTATTATCTGGGATACTAGTGGCGCACCAGAGGTGTGCCATTACTATTTGTTACTAGTGGCGTGTTAATATAAGTATTTTAAAGCTCCAATATAGGCTAACACCTCAGCTTTTGCAAGGGAAGAAAGCTTTCAAGCTACAAATATAACATCATCACAAAACTGTAGGCCCGAGTCTTGAACACATGTGTACATTTACTTTGATCCATCCCACAGCAAGAGGTAAACAAAATACCATCAGTCTCATAAAATCATAAGGGCTTCACCTTGTAAGCTTCTATATTGTTACATGTTTTATCTGAAAAAGCTCCCTCTTGTGACTAATATTGTTGATTAGATAACACAACTCTGCGGAAAGATTAATAAACTAATCCACTTCTCAGTGCATTGCCTTTACTGAAAATGGCATCAGTTAGGGAAATAGGGATATAAGTAATATAATTAGTTATCATGCATATAGGTGCCGCGGTAAAAGATATGTTCACCTTCCTTCATTTTCCTCATAGTAGACAACATCGAGGAGAGTCAGTAGCGATATGCATACATGTTGAAGTAATGCCGAATATTAACACATAAATATCACCGAGAGGAAACTGAAAAATGAAGAGAAAAGCGACAGGTAATTAATATCAAGATACTTCTGTTATCCAAAGAAGAAGCATTCATCTTGAATTAGCATTAATTAATATAAGATGTGATGGATGATAAATAAGATTAAGGATGGCATGCCTTTAAGGAAACTTCTACACTTCTGAAAATTAAGGATTGGAGCGTCCTTGACTGGAGCGTCTTGTGGAAAGTAGTAAGCTTCAGTTAGAAAATAAGAATTACAAATATGTTCGGAGTTAGACTACATCAAGTGGTACATCACTTTAGAATTGTTTGAGTAGTTTTATTTACCAGCTGGCATGCAATATTTATAATCAGTCCACCAAAGGCGCGAAAGAAGAAAGTGACCTCCATACGTTTACAGTCCTTGACTCCTTATGGATGCATCAAGGTCTTCAATAAAAACAGATTGAGAGAGGCTACTTACAGATGGTGACACCGGAGGGCACACAGAAACTAAATTGGATGGGATCAACTTGCTTCTTGTTAAGAGATGGAACAATGAATATGTGTGCATGCTCCAATCAGTCAATTTAACTACCTGCATAACATTTATCACATCAAGAGAGGATACAAAATACCGGAAACACCATTGTATTCTCCAAAAAACAAAAGATACATTACCCAAAGAATTACTAAGAAAGAGGGGGCGGAGGAGTTAGGCGCCGTCATAGTCGGGGCAGCTCGAGCCCGATGCAGTCGAGAAGAAACCACTATCTATATGGAAGGAACCTGTGTCGTGCATATCCTTCACCTGGCCTCGGAAAGCCACTTTTTCGCCGACTGCTTCATCCTGCGCCTCGCTGCTGTTGGGTCTTCTTCATGGGCGCCGGTGTTGGTTGCATATGTTACGATTCATGCCTTGACAACTAATCTGTTGTTTAGTATGAATTATTACCAAATGAATGAGAAAAGACATCGATAAGTAGACTCGCTGGAAGGAAATAGGATGAAACAAAGCCAAATAAACGAATCTGATTTCCCAACTTTTGGAGCCCTGGTCACCTCCCAAGTTCCAACTTCCACATGGTCATGGCGAGAAGTTGGCATGGCCAGCGACTTCTGAGGGCAGGTCGTGGCTGCGCGCTCAGGATCTCGCGGCAAGACACACAGGGGTTGTTGAAGGAAGTGAGGGCGGAGGGGAAGCGTATTGCGCCGTGAGGCAGCCGGCGGCGTGAGCAGATAAGGATGCAGAGAGATGAAGGCGGAGGGATAGTGAAAGAAGTGGAGATGTAGACGGACCCCAATGGGCGCACATGCCGCTAGTGGAGGAATTTTATTGTCTAGGAGTAATCATGATCATCAGTTATGGAAGGGGAAAGACGAAGCAGTCAGCTTACTTTAGTGACCAGGGAAGGCTACGCACAGAAGGAATTTAAATTGCATAAAAAGGGAAGAGAATACAGACGTGGCATCTCATGCAAGGCAAAAGTTGCTGATGTGGCCTACTGCTGAGTTGGATAACTTGCATGTTAAGAGAAATAAGATAGTGGGGACGAACTATTTAGGTATTATAGATAACGTTAATGAATTTGAGTGTTACACATTATATCCTACTCCTTTAATCAAATGCGGAGATGGAACCATTCCATTCTTAGAATGGAATGATTACATTTCATTCTATTTGGTCCTACAATCAAATGCAACCTAAACATAGATCATTCAATTCACACACTCTGGATTTTCAAATCAGCCTTGCTTGATAGCAGACTGAATCGGGGTTCCACGCTATCGGCTCGCATGTAGGCCAGAGGTTCCATGTTGGTTGTCCGACGTGGCGGTAGCACCCTTTCTAAATCGGGGTTCAGGAGTCGCTGCCTCTTTCTAGGGGGAGACTTGTATGATATCTCACATTTAGGTGAGATCGCGAGATCAATCTGAAAAGTTCATATTTACACCTTTCAAAAAAATCTGAAATTATTTGACAACATTCATTTAGGTATGTCTACAACTAAAAAAAATCAGCTCAGAACTTGATGTACATTTAGAGATTCAAAAAAGACAAATTTGAATGTGAATAGTGGCAGCTTTGAGTGAATACTTTGACACTATTCACGTTTGATTTTGTCTTTTATGTTTCTATTAATGTAAGTTGAATTAGAGGTTGAATTTTTTTTAGGTTGTACATCAAACAATGATGTGTGTCTATAAAAAAATTAAGAATATTTGAACATGTATATATTTTTTTAGAAAAGACAATCTCATTCATCTCACCTAACATGGGATCTCGCACAAGTTGTATGAGATCTCACATTTAGGTGAGATCGAGATCAACCGGAAAAAATAAATCATATTTAGACATTTCAAAAAAAATCAAAATCATTTGACAACATTCATTTGAGGTATGTACACAACAAAAATCAGCTCAGAACTTGATGTACATTGAGAGATTCAAAAAAGACAAATTTGAATGTGAATAGTGGCAACTTTGAGTGGATAATACTTTGACACTATTAACGTTTGATTTTTTCTTTTTTTGTTTCTATATAAATGTAAAATAAATTAGGAGCTGATTTTTTTAAGGTTGTACATCAAACAATGATGTGTATCTACACAAAATTTAAGAATATTTGAACATGTATACTTTTTCCAAAAAAATCGAACTCATTCCTAATGTGAGATCTCACACCACACAAGTCTCCCCCTTCTTTCTAAGCATGGCAGCTTGGGCCGCGCTGCGCCGCCTCCGCTCACCGCGGCTCCGCCTCGCCTCCACCTTCACCCACCACGGCGCCGCCGCCGTCTCCGCCACCGACGCGTTCATCCATGTCCAAGACCCGAACCGCCGCATCGCGGAGCTGGCCGCCGCGGGGCGCGTCCCCGACGCCCGCAGGCTGTTCGACCGGACGCCGGACCGGGACGTGGTGTCCTGGACGGCGATGGTCGCGGCGTACGCGCGCCAGGGCCAGCTCCACGAGGCCAGCGCGCTGTTCCACCGCCCCGACGCGCGCCGGAACGTGGTCACCTGGACGGCGCTCCTCTCCGGCTACGCGCGGGCGCGCCGCGCCGACGAGGCCAGGGCGCTGTTCGACCGGATGCCCGAGAGGAACGTCGTGTCGTGGAACACGATGCTGGAGGCCTACGCCTCCGCTGGCCGCACGGGGGCCGCGTGCGCGCTGTTCGACAGCATGCCGGTGAGGGACACCGGCTCCTGGAACATCCTTCTGGCCGCGCTGGTGCGGTCTGGGACCATGGACGAGGCACGGAACCTGTTTGAGAGAATGCCCGAGAGGAATGTGATGTCGTGGACGACGATGGTCGCCGGCCTTGCACGGAGCGGGAGCGTGGACGAGGCTCGAGTGCTGTTTGATGGCATGCCGGAGAGGAATGTTGTTTCCTGGAATGCCATGATCTCTGGATACGCCCGGAACCTCAGGATCGATGAAGCTCTTGATCTGTTCATGAATATGCCCGAGAGGGACGTGGCTTCTTGGAACATCATGATCACCGGTTTTATCCAGAACAAAGATTTGAAGAAGGCACAGGAGCTCTTTGACGAGATGCCTAAAAGGAATGTAGTCAGCTGGACTACTATGATGAATGGTTGCTTGCAAGGTAATGAGAGCGAAATGGCACTGCAGGTATTTAACGGTATGCTCGTTGATGGGATCAGACCAAACCAGGTGACGTTTTTGGGTGCGGTTGATGCGTGCAGCAATATCGCCGGACTCAGCGAAGGGCAGCAGGTGCATCAGATGATATGCAAAACACCATTTCAGTTTGATAATTTTATCGAGTCCACACTCATGAATTTATATGGCAAATGTGGAGAAATTAGATTGGCAAGGAAGGTGTTTGATCTCTCAGGGGAGAAGGACGTAATATCTTGGAATGGCATTATTGCAGCATATGCACATCATGGGGCTGGTGTAGAAGCTATAGCTTTGTATGAAAAGATGCAAGAAAATGGGTATAAGCCTAATGATGTCACATACGTGGGATTGCTCTCAGCATGTAGCCACTCTGGTTTGGTCGACGAAGGGCTTAGGATATTTGAATACATGGCAAAGGATAAGTCCATTGCAGTGCGGGATGAGCATTACACTTGCTTGATTGATCTCTGTAGCCGAGCCGGGCGACTTGATGATGCCAAAAGATTAATCAACGGTCTTAAACTTAAGCCTACATCCAGTACTGTATGGAGTGCGCTTCTAGGTGGGTGTAACGCACATGGAAATGAAAGCATCGGTGATTTGGCAGCAAGAAATCTCTTAGAAGCAGAGCCTGATAATGCTGGAACCTACACTCTCTTGTCTAACATTTATGCTTCTGCTGGTAAGTGGAAAGAAGCAGCAAAGATTCGGTCTCAGATGAATGATCGAGGACTAAAGAAACAGCCGGGATGTAGTTGGATTGAGCTGGCAAATAAGGTGCATGTATTTGTAGCACGTGACAAGTCCCACAGTGAGTCTGAGTTGATTTATAGTCTGCTGCAAGATATTCATCACATGATGAGGATGGCTGGCAGTGATCCCAGGGACCACATGCAGCTTATGGATGAGGATCTGGTGGATCTTCAAGCATAATTTGAGATATAAGAAAGTAAAGTTCCAGGATTTTGTCAGAGGGAGGCATTTTGCACCACTAAATCAGACAATTGGCGTACATTGTAGAGTTTAGACCTATGGTGTTGGTGTTACCCCAGGCTAAGTTGGTCCCCATCTTCGGAGCATTATAACTAGCAAACACCTGGGCTCTTGTTTGTTCAGAGTTCTGTAGAATGTCAATATATTCTTGAAGCTGGGTGACAGTCAAGGACCTTGCAGAAGTCTTGACCTTTATCTCTGGTGTTTGAATCTGATTTCTCTGGTTCACTGGCCGAGGCTTTGCCATGTTGTGCTTGCTATTCCAGGGTATGTTCTTTATCAGTTTGAAGCCTTCTTCTCTGTATGTGTTAGCTCCTTTGTTTATTGCTTGATGAATTACTAGCAAATTGTCATATGTTCTGTACCTTATCAGTTCTGTAACTTGAGGTTTTTTTGTTTTTTGTTTTTTTTTTGGAAAAGGGGGACTCCCCGGCCTCTGCATAACTTGAGGTAAATTCATTGTATAATATCAATAGTTGTTATACAAAGAAAGAAAAAAGATCAAACATACCTAGACCTCATATTACGTTTGCATGCTTTGTAACTCCATGGTAATCAAGTTATAGCATGCAAAAGATTTCTCTAGACTTTCGTTGCTTAACTTCAGGTTAAGAGTACAAGTAACTTGAGAATATAGAAGTAGCAGAGAATCTAGAATCGCTGAACCATCATTTGAGCGAACAGTGTTGCCCTGCTTCAGGTAGGGCATCATGGTGCTCCAAAAAGTCTATGTTAATTTTATCCATGGACTCAAATTTACTGCAGTGTTCACGCAATTCTGCAAATAAATTTTTGTCTTGGATTGTGGAAGGTCATGTGTGACTCAACTTGCTATTTGCTACAGTTGCAGGCAAGAACTTTGGGATCACTCTCCCAAAAGGCAATTTGCCTTGTGAACTCTGCCATGTATGTATGTACAGAGGAATTTCCTTTTGGTGTTGGAATGGGAGGAATCAGGAATGGACAGCGTATACGGTTTAGAACACTCGGACGGTACTGCAAAACTGTTTGTGCACACAGTTGAGCCGATGCATCGTGCATTGTAAACTGTAATAACCTTTCTTTGAGAAGCAAGTCCATTGTAATAGGTGTCGTGCTCGTATGAAAGGATCTGGACGAAGTGGCGTGGCCAAGAACAGTTATGCTGATTTGGTTGCACCAGATATGCCTGAGATTCTTGGCACTTACAGTAGATGCAAACTGTCGGGATGGGGTTTTTTCTTTCGGGAAAAAATTGTTGGGATGAGTTATAAGCATCTTCAATGGGAAATCAATGAGTTATTGCTAACAATGAACTCTCTTTTTTTTTCTGTTTGAGAATGAACTCTGATTGTTGGGGTAACCAGTTTTTTTGTACATTCTGAGGCCCAAAATCAGGCCTTGAAGCCCACCAGCAGGCCCACTCACGCGGGCCGGACAGCCCAGCTGGGCGAAGCGACCAACCCCCACACTCCTCGTCGTCCACCCCCGCTCAGAATAGTCCCGTCCGGACCAACCCACCCCACCCCCACCCCCCACCCACCGACGGTAGGTCGCTCGCTCGCGGCGCGCGCCCGTCCGATCCCGATCTCCGCCGCGCCTCCCCACCCCTCCCCTCCCACGCCGACGAGATGGCCCGCGCGTCCTCCCCCGCCGCGGCGGCCTTCCTATGCGCGCTCGCGTTCCTCCTGGCCACCGCGGCCTCGGGCGCGCGGCTCACCGTCCGCGCCGGGGGCGAGGTCCTCACGGTCCGCGCGGGCGGGGGCGCGCCGGCCACGGCGGTGTTCGCGCTGGGCAGCTTCTGGCGGTCCGAGGCGGCGTTCGGGTGCCTCCACGGCGTGCTCCGCACCTCCGTCGGCTACGCCGGCGGCTCCAAGGCCAACCCCGAGTACCGCAACCTCGCCGACCACGCCGAGTGCGTCAAGGTAGTACCAACAGAGCCTTCCTCCCGCCCCCTTCCGCCAGCTCCTTTCTTGATAATGTTCATTTTTGTCGCTGCTATTGGTATAGCCTGTTCTCTGTGCTTGGTTATTAAACCAAACCATTTTATCCGCGCAAGTGAAACTAGCAGTGATTGAATGAACGAATGTTTCATGACCTGCATGGATAGAATGCTTTGGGCCTGCTTAACATGCCTGATTTGCTTGGTGTGGCGTATGCTTGAAGCAATCAGGCGTGTTTGTTTAGAAGCAATTGGGCATGTTTTGGTCTTGGTGCGCGTGATCTTGCTGCGTTTCTGCCCATTATAAAAATGTACAAGTTCTGAGGTGCTAATCAGCGCTTGAGTAATTTCTGAGCTACCATGACTAGCCTTGACTTCTGCTTGCACTTCAACTGTTCAGGTCGAATATGATCCCCGTCAGATTCAGTACAAGCAGCTTTTGGACGTGTTCTGGGCAAGCCATGATCCACGGGAGGTCTTCGGACAAGGACCGGATGTTGGCAACCAATACAGGTGATTGACTTTTTTTTTCTCTAGACTTATTTTCCGTCAGTAAATCGACTCATTTCAGGATGTGGTGATCATCTGTTTCCATACGCTACATTTTCATGGTATTTTAGCATATGGCATTATCGCAACAAAGCCAACATTTTCCCCTTGGTTTCATGCCTTCAAGGAATTTGATCTTGATTAGAATGTTACACGGCTGTGTGACACATTTGCCTCACTATCCTCTGTGTGCATAGCAGTAGTATAGCACAATATGATGGTAGCTGTTGTCAGCAAATACTCATTTGTGTGGTTACAGATCCGTCATTTTCACAAATGGGACCCTCGAGGCCAGATTGGCTGCTCTTACCAAAGAAAGGGAACAGGCCAAGGACCGCAGCAGCGTTATTACCACAAAGATCCAACCACTGGGGGCATTTTATCCGGCTGAACCAGAACATCAGGTATCTATGTCATTCATTATTCTTCCTTGTGAGATCTGCAATGCAAATGGCGTTCTAGTAGAATAATGAGTCCTCTTTATGTATGTCGTGCACTTACGTGAAATCGATCTGAATGCTAGAAATTCGAGCTGAAGCGCAAGCCTTTCCTGGTGCAACTGATCGGGAACCTGCCAGAGGAGGAGCTCCTGTCATCGACACTGGCCGCGAAGCTGAATGCGTATGCAGCCGAGCTCTGCCCTCCAAAGACCCAGAGGAAGATAAGCTCCAAGATTGACGAGATTGCCAAGAAAGGCTGGCCCATCCTACGCGACATTTAGCTAGCCCATTCTGGTCCCGGTTCTCATCAAACTGTAAAATCCATCAAATTGTAATCCAACATAGAAACAAGAGAGTTCTGCATGATTTTGCCGGAAAGTTTCGTAGGAATGTCTCAGCAGTCTGCTGACAGGAGCCAGACTGCAGCGCTTCATTGTTCACTTGGTCACGGTGATTCATTACATCGTTTATAGATAGCATCAATCATCTGTCGATTTGGAGTTTTTCTCCGTCCGTTTGGTATACTCATGTGTATCTTGTTCTGGGCTTGCTGGACATGTGGTGAAGTTGTAAGATGTAACTTTTGGTCGATTCAGTTGTGAAAATGTATAGAAGCGTTCTTATTCACAAACCATTTTATTCACAATCATGTGTATAGAAGCATCAATTCATCAGTTCATCAATCATCTGTTAGGGAATTGAATGGAATTCTTGTAAATTAAGAAATGAATATTTACAGATGGAGATAACACTACTGCTCCCAACAAAGTTGCAATAAAGCAGTATCAATTAATATTGATCGTTTGCAATGCATAATAATTCTCATTTTTGCCCCTGCTGATTATTCTGTTGAGGTTCCTTTTGTTTTAAAAATTTAAACGGCATCCCTGGTTTTGCGCTACCCCCACAAATAAACCCGAAAAGGAACAAAATACTGGTGTCTCACCTAAAAAATGGCCAAAGGAGTCCATTTCACAATAATATACTCTCTCCGCCCCAAAAATAAGTGTTGTTGTTTTAATTTATTTAAATAATAACTAGAACAACGACACTTATTCCGAGACGGACGGACTACATATTTAAACACCATATTTCTACAACACAAAAAAAATAAAAAAATAAAAAACATTTGTGTATGCAGAAATACATGTATATAACATGTTTGTGAACATTTTCATAACAATATATTTTCACACATGGCGTACAATAACAAAAACAAAATACATACATGAAAATGAGCCATATTTTGGGCCAGGATTTTGTTTTCTTTGCGTAGCTTACAGATCATAACATTTTTGAACGAAAATTTACAGATCCGCCGTGAACATGTATAAGCTTTTTACCCGCAAAAAAAAAAGAGAACATGTATAAGCTTTCGTGGATTTTTTTTTTTGAAACTTTGAAATATGTTTTTCGAATTTTCAAATTAAAGGTCTCCCTGGAGCCCGGCCCGGCACTATAATAACTTGGCACTCAGCATCACCTCCGGGTGTACTACGAGGGTTCGGGTCAAAAAAGAAGAAAAGAAAAAAAGAGTGTACTAGGGTTCGGCGATCCGCCGTGTCGCTGACCACTCACCGATCGGTCCCGGAGCCGGCGGCGACCGCGATGCCCGGGAAGAAGAATGCGGAGCCGGCGCCTGCCGCCGTCCCGCCCCAGCCCGCGCCGATGCCGGTAAGCCATCGACCTCCCCGGCCTCCTCGAAAGTCCGGAGCCTCGCCGTTCCCCTGTGCGCGCGCCCTCTGGTTTTATGCTCCCGGCTCGGCGGCTTGGATGCACAGCCAGCCGATTTCGCTCAAGAGATCTCTCATCTTTTAGCGGAAATTAAGATTTTTCTTGTCTGTGCTTGGGAGGAATTAAGCAGTATTAGCAGTGGCGGAGCTAGACAAAAATGTTTGGGGGGGCCAAAAGACAAAAAAAAATCTGTAGTGAGCAAGTGGACTTCGAGTTCTCGCAAAGAAAACACTGCTACTGAGAGAACAACTTATAATGTGTATCCTCCAATTCAATCAACCACTAACCAATCGAAAGAGAAAATTGTAGCGCTATCACACACACAAAAAAACCATTTTATAATGTCGTCGCCACCATTCCAAACGCAAAGCTCTTCCTAACTTCCTCGCCGTATCCTCAATAAAGGCAGGGCGGCGTCGAGGGCTCGAGGCTGTCTATTGCGACGTCATCGGCTGGTTGAGTGAAGAACACCACATGAGCTGAGAAGCAGCCGAGCTAGTGAGTGAAGAGGGCTCGTTCGTTGGTGCATTGTGTGTGAAGACGAGCCTAAGTCTTAGGAAGTACCTAGAACTCATCTAGATGAGACATAATTTGGTCTCATTCACTTTGAAAACAAGAACAGATGCAACCCATGCCAGCACACGCGCATCTTATAGCATCACATCCAAGGGTTATAAAATGTGAATGAGACCAAATTATATCTCATCTAGATGAGTTCTAGCAAAACTGTAAGTCTTATTGGCACATACCCCGTACGTCGAGTAATTTCCGACGTACTTGTACAACACGATTCGTCGACCGTTGGCCGAGATACACACGCGTCCACGTACAAACTAGCTGTCCAAGCAAGTTGATTGATTTTGGTGAACAGATGAACAAAGCTAGCTAGCCTGGCTAGCTGCTTGATGTATTCCGCCGCCAGACGCTCGTATACGACGCAACCAAGACACGCACGCGACACAGAAGACTCGATGGGTTATAGCAACAGGAGCGTGTCGTTCCTGAGATTATTTTATTGCTTTGATCTGGGTTAATTACAAGGGGTAGATTACATTACATATCTATACTAGTCGAAGCCTAGCTACACCTAACCTAACTGGTGATTCAGATTTCAAACCGTGCCGGACTGGAATAGCACATCGTAGAGTTAACCGCCGAACTGTCTGCAGGGGCAGTAGTACGTATAGTAGTTAGAAAATTGCTTGGGCTGGGGGGGCCACGGCCCCCTCAGCTCACAACGTAGCTCCGCCGTTGAGTATTAGTATCTTTGTACATCTCTGATGATCGTATCTGGTGAATTGATGAACACGTGATGACATGAGATGATGAGACGCACGATTACTGATGAACTGCAGAGTAATGTTGCGGAAAAATCTTGTGCAGCCTGTCATGGTGTTTAGGTTGAACGATGGCGGTGGATGGGACGACTATGGGGCCGGCCGTGTCACCATCGACCACCTCGAGGTATGGCATACGCCTGTTCACCAGAGATTGGCAGTGCTTCCGGCCTTTCCAACACGATATAAGTTGTTATTACAACCAATATATGGCGACGGAGGGAGTGGCAGAGCAGATTGCATGATAATAATGCCCCAGATAGCACATTGGGGGTTTCGCTGATTTACTAGGTTGTCGCTCATGGCCTTGTTCGTTCCCGTATGTTTGTTGTCGCGGGGATCGGCATCGGAGAAGGAGATCGCTCTGGCTGTCATAGACGCGGAGAATAAGGAGACGATGCTCTTGCATCTCATCACCCCGGACGACATTTACCGGAGGCGCCAAGGTGAAGAAGCCCCTCTCTTGCTTCCCCTGCTTTCCCCTTTCAGTTTTCTGTTCTCTCGACAATTGAATCTCCGACAAAAAGTCATCGCAAAAACGATGGAAGTTTTAAGTTAATTTGTTTGCAATGGTGGTGCCTTTATTTTGCTTGTTCCCCTCTGTTCAATAGCACCGTGATTATGCCATCTTCAATCTCTCTCGCAGGGACGTTCATCTCGTGGTTCGATCCCGAGACCGGCTTGTCCATCTCCTTGAGCTTCCTAGACGCGGCGGCGTGCTCCAATGTGTGGTATGTCACCATCACAATGAGAATGCTAATGCGAATGTTGTTTCATTATGCTTTAAGCATGATTGATGATGATGCTAATGTATGGTATCTTGCAGGGACACCATCTGCCAAGTGCAGAGAAAACTGAGGCCTGATGGTTAGTAGTGGCGCCGATGGTAGGTGACCATACAATCAAACCCCTTTGATGTTTCTTTCACCCCAAAGATAAGAATGTCAGCATAGATTTTTTAAATTGTTTTGTGCAGCTCCTCAAGAAACAGTTTGCCCTATGAAGTGAAGCTAATGAGTTAGGAAATTTACCAATGAAAATTAACCTCTGTTGTTTTCTTCAGGATTTATTGAATTAGGATGCCCTTTTTTCGCAGCGCCATGTGCAGAGCACACACCGTCAATTTTATGTAATAATAAACATCACCTCTGTTGTGATTATTATTTTTGAGCTGCATCAACATTGCTCTGTATTTTACCATAGGTGGCAATAACATGCTACACATTAGACCAGGTCAGGTGCCACTCCTTAGTGCAGATTCATGTTCATATATACACTGCCACACGAGGGAGAAAATTGTCCCGTGTGACAGCTACTTCTACAGAAACATCCTGAACCAGGCTATCTCCTGATCCGTTTCGAGGCGGTCTTGGCTAGAGCATTGTAGATGTCGCGCTTCCTCTTCGCGTTTTCGTCGGTCTTGCCAGGGGCCGCGGCTGCGCTGGCCTGTCGCTCCAACGCTTCCCTCACAAAGAACTTCAGCCTCCAGAGGGTCGTCTCGCTCTGCAACGGCCCGTGCAGGAAGCATGGTTAACATTTTTAAAAACAATGTGGCGCATTGAGTGCGGTTAGGGTTTAGAATAGAGGAGCTTTACCTGAGCATCCATGTCAAGGTCCACTTCTTCTGCTGTAGTTTGGAAGTCAGGATTGTCTTGTGCGACCAGCTCCAGTGCCTTGCTAAGATCTTCCGGGGTCAGGTGGCAAAGGCCTGCACCGAGTTTTCTCTTCTCGTCTGTGGTCATTTTTCTACAAGATCCAAAAAAAAAGTAACTTTTTTAGGCTTGGCACCCCTATAAGTCTGTAGCAAACAGCAAATTTATAGGCATAAGATAAACGTCTTTAAGACGTACCTGCATCTCTGAACCACCATGTTCCGAAGCTCCTCCAGCTGCTTATTAATCTCATTCAGCTGGAACATGAGAAATAAAAGGTACTGAATATCTAATAACAAAACAAGGGAACACAGTAGGGGTTGCAGTGAATATGCAAGGCATATACTCCCTCCGTTCCTAAATATAAGTCTTTGGAGAGATTACACTATGAACCACATACGGATGTATGTAGATGCATTTTAGAGTGTAGATTCATCCATTTTACTCCGTATGTAGTCCATAGTGGAATCTCTACAAAGACTTATATTTAGGAACGGAGGGAGTATATTTGACAAGGATACAGAAGCATGTTCAGGCTGGCCAAGAAAGGATTTCATATCGATACATCAATAGACAAAAAACTAAATGATAACAGAAACATGTTGATAAAAGTCTGGGGCCATTTTTTTTCTAAACATGAGTTGAAGTCAGTATATGTTGCTTCAATCAATACCGACACAACAATAAAAAGAATAACAGTCCATGAGAGGGCCGACCTCATCATCAGTATCTTTTGCTAATTTTGCAATAGCATCTTCCGGAGAAGTGTCTGTGGTTGGAGCATCGTTTGGTTCCACCTGTTGTTTCCTTTCCTAAAACAATAGGATCCAACTTATTGTTGTCAAATGCTAAATGACACATATCCAAATCAAAACAAAAATGGTAACATATGAGACTACAAATATCCACCTCATTCTCAACTTTAGGGAGAAGCTGGAGCCATTTCTCCTCAAATTTCTCAAGTAATAACTTGGCCATTATGTGAACATCGTGATGTTCATCATTGTATGTCATTGCATTGGTAAAAATTAATCTAACATCAGAATGTATTTCTCGAACACTTTTATACTTGGTACCATCCTTCCCTTCCATTTTGTTTTGGATGGTCGAGAAATCCATAGGTTTTGTTATAATCTGCAAAATGTAGAAACCAAAGATATGAGTCACTACAAACAAGCTTCAGGTAAAGAAACCAACGAAGCAACTCCATCTTATTGATATACTAAATATAGAAAAACATATTCGCTACCAACTCAAGGGATACATCAATATGAAGTACACTATAGAAGGTAAATAATAAGTGGCAAAGCCAATTACAGCTGTAATATAAACAGAAAACCTAATATGCCATGTTTTCCTTCTACAGATTAGGGATGATTACAATCTTAGAGTTCCAAGCAATGGTTTTCAGTTTCATGTACATGGAAGAGGGCAAAAAATAGTTACAAAACCAATTAACAGCTAATAAGATACCCAGCCATGTTTTCCATATATAGATAAGGGAGGATTTAACAGTATTATGTTTTTCCCTTGACATTCAGAATCTTCTCAGAAAGTTCAAAGCAAATACAGGATTATGTTTTTCCCTTGACATTGAAAATCTTCTCAGAAAGTGCAACAGCATGTCAACTGAAAGCAGAATGGAGACCAGAAAAAAAAAATCCTGCAGCGAATCACAAGTAACGTCATATGCAATCAAAGTCAGTTTGTGTTTTTTAGATCCTGATGCCTTGCCAACATTAGGTCATGCAAACTATAAACATTACCATCAGAACTAATTCACATTTAAGTTACCAAAATGTATCCCTTATAGTTAAAATTCCTTTCAGTAGGAACAGAAATCTAGCAAAATCCAGGACAAACTGTACTGGCAGTATTACCTTGTGATAGTCATCAAGTTGTAGGCCTACAACATCTACTGGTTGCAGAAATGGCGCTGACCATTCATGAGACGTGATCTGGAAGAAAATGAATACAGAAAAGAGAATCAAGTGCCAAATTTTGCAAAGATCAACAGAAGGCTTTTCATAGGGCAAAGAAATCACACATTTGAGTTTTTAACTGCAGTAGTTGAATATGAACTTGGAAGGTGGCTAAAGAATGATAAACTTTGTACTGAGTATTACACCATAGAACACTAGATTAAAAAAAGGATTTTCCACATATAGTGATTGAATCAATCCCAAAAATATAGCCAAGTAAATAAAATGTAAGTTCACTTGCAAGGCTTTTTAGTTAGGTTCAGATGACCGCATTCAGCAAAAGCTGCAGATCATATATTTTAGGCTGATTTCATTCACTGCACCAGAAGACCACATGTGAAAAATGGTCTACCAATGAACACAGCCAAAAAGAACCAGATTGATGTTCATGGAAGCATACATAAATTTGGCAGCTGTTTGAAACTTGTAGCAGAAATCTTGATTCCATTATAAATCTATCTTGCTGGAAAGAACAGGAGCAGTATGTGCAGGTAATCAGTATGTGCAGGTAATCGCTACAAGCAATGGAAAAAGTCTAGGTTGCCACATTAGTCACATGGATTGATAAGGTCGAAAAGCCTTCTAATGTTCTAAATTGACCTGTGAATTACAAACCTGGCACCAGCCCGACTTTCTAAAACACGCTCCAGGATGCAAGAATATAGCATGAGTAGCCAGCAAACACAATGAATCATGGGATAAACCACAGCTGAAGAAAGATCATCACCTGGCGAATGATACCGGTAAGCTGGCGCATGAGGTCGGGCATCCCTTTGCAGTTGCTGTCCCTTGCACCATTCGCCGCATACCTGCTGCTACCACTGGCCCTGCGCCCTCCACTGCCATGCTTCTTGACGTCGTAGAACCCTACCACCTCGTTCACCCTCCTCTCCAGCTGCAACACATAATGCCAGTTCCAGCCTGAGGCAACTTTACCCTAATTCTTCGGGGGAAAGAACACAGTATCGCAACAGGAGACCGCTAGACCTGACACCTAATCATGCAATAGCCAAAATCCCCGAAAATGGCGCACTCTTGGGAATGAAGCTGCTCTGGCAGCAAAGCCCTTCTTGGAAATCAGTACTGAGGCGAGACGGAAACTAATATCAAGCCTAGGAGGGGGCGGGGTTACCACGTCGGTCTTGGAGGCGAGGTCGTCGACCTGGCGCCGGAACGAGTCCACCTCCGACACCACGGGGTGCTCCACGGTGGCGGCCGCCCCCTGTTGCGCGCCGTCCTCCGGCACCATCTATGGTTCGTCTCCGCCGGCTGTGAGCGAGTAGCGAGCGACACTGCGGCTTTAGTTGCGGGGGCTAATTGATAAAATGTCCCATGTTTGCTCTGCCCCGGCCAAACTGCCCAATCTTTATCTGCAATTGATCAAATATCCCAATTTAGCGCTTTGCCAATTGATAAATGCTACGCGTTACAAATGATCATGTTTCTTTGCTATAGATGACATAAATGAGAGGGTGGAAAGACCAAAATATCCATACAAAAAATAACAACAGAATTTTGCCATTAAAAAAAACAGTGTTGCTAAATCCCAGTGGTTATGTCTCAGTCAATGCTATATTCGTGAGATTTTGCGTAGAGATTCGTGCAAAATTTTCTTTTTAGTTTTTCTTTTCTTTTTTTTCTTTCTTAGGTGTTATGTCACTTGATTGAGACTTGGTTGCTTGGTTAAATCTCAGGCCAAAACTTGAACCAGCCAGAAAAATCTGGAAAAAAGAAATACTGCACAAAAGCCTCATCGGCCGAGATTTAGCAACACTGTTTTTGCTAAATAATAAAAAAATCTTCATCGTCCGAGATCCATTCCCCTTGCTAGTGTTCATACCAAATACTAGATCGCAGCACACATGAAACCCTAGAATCGTCCGAATCGAGGAACTGGCCAGAGGGCATGGGGCGTCACGCTTGAGAGAAAGGGAAAGAGAAGCTCACCTGAGAGGAACCTCCCTCCCTCCCTCGACTCGGGCCGCTGCTGGCGGCTGTCGCCTTCACGGACGGGGGCGAGCTGGGGTGGAGCGGCCGGCGGCGCGGCGAGGAGAAGGCGGGAAGGGAC